CGAAACGATAGACATTCCCATAAACAATAAAATTAGTACAAAGTTTGAGTACAATAATCAAACATAGCCGAATAATGGGAGAACCACTCATAGGTGGTCTAAACACACACATAACCGTAAACAAGCCTTAGGAACTTAGCAGTTAATATTAGAACCGCAACTAAGTTCCCAATCAAAATCACAAATAATAGAAATAATATGACAACAATTACAAGAACAGTCAGCAGCATGACTTCCACTGATCCTCAAGGGTCCTAGACCATCTGCAGCTGACCTCTCCTTCCCTGACATGCCTGCCGGCTGACCTGCTCATATTCAGTCCATTCTCTGATTGCACCTTCCACTACAAGGTTAGCCGGCCTGTGAGATCCCTCAAACACCCAAAGGTTTCTACATTTCCAAAGCCACCATAATATGTATGTGGACAGTTGGATACGGGCTTCGGAGGTTTTATCATGCTTGAGTTCAGATATATCCCACCACCAATCTTTAAAGGTATCCTGCTCTTTAGGTCCAACCCAACTGACAGGAGCTAAACTCCACACCATTTGTGCATTGGGACAATGAAAAAGAACATGTTATACTGTTTCTTCTCCTAGGCCACAGACTTTGCATATATGGTCCACATTCATGCCTCTCTGTTTAAGATTCATCCCAACTGGCAATATTCCAGAAATACACTTCCATAAGAAGTGCTTTATCTTGCTTTTGATTTTAAGCCTCCACATTCTAGTCCTTGCCTTCTGATCCTTTATCCAAGCTGTGCTGCTCTGTGGTTTATCCCAATTGAGGATCTTCTGCTTGACTAAGAGTGCATATGTTTTAGAGACAGTGAAGTTGCCTTTTTTATCTCCAGACCATATCCATTCATCTTCAATTTCTGGGTTTAGCTTGTTCAGCTTTAAGATGTTTAAGCAGTCTTCCTCTGAAAAATTTTCTTTTAGTATGGATTCATTCCAGCTCCTGCCATCCTCAGCTATAAGTTGGCTGACCCATGTAAGATTTGCTCCTGCTCCAGGTATGAACTGAAGCCTTTTCCCTTTGGAGTTAGGTACCCAGAAGTCATCTAAAATTCTTGTCCCTTTCCCATTATGTATCACAGCTTGCATCCATTTTCCACATTTATCTCTGACTTTTAGCCAAGAATTCCAAAGCCATGATGCATTTTCCTTCCTTTGAGCAGCCATCATAGATGAATCAGGATAATATCTAGCTTTAATAATTTTACTGACTAATAGCTGAGGTTGGGTCAGTAGTCTCCAAAGTTGCTTTGCTATGAGGGCTTCATTAAAAAGCTGAATATCTTGGAAACCAAGACCACCATGAGATTTTGGGAGTGTCAGTTGATCCCATGCCCTCCAGTGTATTCCTTTCTGCAAGTTGTCTCCCTTACTCCACCAAAACCCTGCACATACATTGGTGATATCTTTGCACAGGCCAATAGGAAGAAGAAAGCAAGACATTGTAAAGACAGGCAATGCATTAATAACTGCTTTAATAAGTACTTCCCTGCCTGCTGGAGTAAGCCATTTATTTTTCCAGCTGTGAATCCTTTTTTCTACCACCTTCAACACATAACTGAATGCATCCCTTTTGGATTTTCCAATGCCCAATGGTAAGCCCAAATATCTGATTGAAAATTGCAAATTGATTCCATTGAGAATTTGGCAGCATGTATTTTGGATTTCTGCTGATGCATTCCTGCTGAAGAATATTGAAGATTTTTCCATATTCACTCTTTGACCAGTGAAATGAGAATAATCTTCCAGGATCTGTAGAAGTTTGTTTGCTTGTGACTCCTCAGCTTTACAAAAAATCAGTAGGTCATCTGCAAAAAGTAGGTGAGTAAGCTGTGGACCATTCTTGGCTATCCTTAGTCCTTTGAAACTTCCCCTTTCTGCTTCTGAGATTAATCTGGTGGACAGCAATTCAGAAATTAGAATAAACAGGTAGGGGGATAGAGGATCCCCCTGCCTTACACCTCTGGATGATGTAACAAAGCCCTTTGGTTGACCAGCAAGATTAAAAGAGAATGTAGGTGCTGTGATACATTCCATAACCCATTTAACAAAAAGTTGATGAAACCCCATTTTCAACATAGTTAACTGAATACTGCTCCATTCTAATCTGTCAAAAGCTTAGCCATGTCAAGTTTTAATGCCATAAAAGAATGTTTGCCACTTCTATGCCTGTTCAAGAAATGGAGAGCTTCATGAGCTATAACTACATTGTCCATCAATTGCCTACCCGGAAGAAAAGCTGCCTGATTCTCAGATATGCAATTGGGTAGACAATTCCTCAGCCTTAAAGCAAGAATTTTTGAAATTATTTTATAAAAAACTGCACAAAGGCTTATAGGCCTGAATTGAGAGATAGATGTGGGATTTTCACATTTTGGAATGAGAGTAATGATTGTGTGCTTCCAATACCTTAGCATCTGCTTCAAGGCAAAAAAACTTTGAACAGCTCTGCAAATGTCTCCTTTGATTAGTGGCCAAAAATGTTGATAGAACAATGCTGACATTCCATCCTCGCCTGGGGACTTGTGAGGATTCATAGTGAACAATGCCTTTTTGATGTCTTCCTCTGAAACAGGGGCTATTAATTCTTCATTCATACTATCAGTGACACTGTTTGGGATATAAGGCAGTAGTGTGTGTCCTTGTGTAGACCCTTGAGAAGTATAGAGATTTGTATAGTAATCATTTATAATTCTCTCTATCTCCTGTTGATCTTCACATAAAATGTTGTCCTCGTTGAGAAGTCTTTGAATGGTGTTCATTTTCCTCCTTAGCATGGTGTAAGCATGGAAGAATTTTGAATTTTTGTCCCCTTCCTTAAGCCAGAGAATTCTAGCTTTTTGCTGCCAGAAAATCTCTTCTGAACAATGTGCCTCTTCTAACTCTTTTTTTATTTTGTCCTACTCTGTCCAGTTCCTGTCTCCTCCTTCTTTCCTCATTTCTTCAAGTGATAAGGTCAATGAGGAAATCTTGTTCTTGCTTAATGCTCTGAAGTGACTGCTTCATATCAGTAGGGCCTCTCTTGCTCTCTTGATTTTTTCTTTGACCACAAACATAGGGGTTCTTGTACATTCTGAGTCCCATGCTTTTTGAACCACCTCATACAGCCCTTCTTGTCCGAGCCACCTCTTATCAAACTGGAATCTCCTTTTCTGTCTTTGCAAGTGCTGGCCATAACTGAGTATAATCATGTGATGATCTGATGCACTTCTGAATTGGCTGTTAGAATAGGTATTTGGAAAATGTGTCAGCCATCCCAGAGATGCAAAGGCTCTATCCAGTCTCTCCTCTATAAAGCCTTCTTTATCCCTGTTATTTCCCCAGGTGTAGTGATAGCCCCTGTGTTGGATTTCTTGCATTCCCATTTCAGCAACAAATGCTCTAAAATCAGCATAACTATTTTCTGATCTTGTTCTACCACCTTTCTTATCTGAGCTGTGAAGAATGTCATTCCAATCTCCTGCTATGCACCATATATCACCCCATTTCCCTTTTTCAGCAAGCAGACAATCCCATTGAACTTCTCTCTCTGATTTGATTGGGCTGAGATAAACAAAAATAGACCAAACAGCAAGACTACCAGGAGTAGGAATGTAATTAACAGCTATAAAGAAATGAGAGCTGTACATATATATAATCTGCACATTATCATTCCATAATAACAAAAGGCCCCCTTTGCATCCTCTAGGCTCCACAATATGATTTCTGGAACCAAAACCAATCTTTTTACAAACTGAAAAAGTGAATTTTTTAGATTTTTTGACTTCTGAAATGAAGGTAAAATGTGGGTGGTGGCATCTTAAGGCCTCTTTCAACTGGGGAACTGTAGAGGGCCCACCCAGTCCTCTACAGTTCCACACCAGAGCATTCATTGGGTTTCTGAGGGCCCATTAGGGTTGGCCCTCACTACCCCTTTCAAGTCAAGTTTAGGTTTTTTACCTTTGTCAGATGCTTGTGGAGAATTGTTTCCAGGTAATTGAGCATCTTCTTGATCTTCTCTTATCCTCTTTTGTTTGCTGGTACCAGATGGTATATTGCTGTTTGATTTCCCAGTGTCTCTGGCTTCAGTCTTTGCTGCTCTTTTCCATGTTTTCCTCAGCAATGGTTTATGTTGGCTCATTTGGAGGTCCTGAGCCGCTTCCTTTGCTGTAAAGTCAACCAGTATCATGTCTGAGATGTCTTGATTTGCAGTGAGTAGTGCTGTTACTGGAACTTGGTACAGATTTGTTGTGTCTATCATTTTGGTTTCCTTGGAAGATGCCTCCAATTTTTCTGAGTTTTCTGATGCTTTCTGTTGATGTTGTGGATTTGCATTCAGAGGTATTTCTGGATATTGAGTGTGGGAGGATTTGGATAGATTATTTGATCCCTTAATATCAGGCTGAGGATCTGAGGAAATTTCTTTATCTTGTCCTGCAGAGGAATTTGGATTGCTTAGACTATTTCCTTGGTAAACATCCCCTGCTCGCATCCATTCACCAAACTCTCCTGCTTTAAGTCTCTTGTTGGCAATATCTTCTACTCTTTTTGAGCATGCTTTTTCAATGTGCCCAATCTTGCCACAATAAAAGCATAGGTTTGCCAATCGTTCATATTTGAATTCAACAATTATCTGCTGCTCTCCTAATCTTATGCTCGCACATCTTGGCAGAGCTTCTGTTATGTTAATATTCACCAAAATTTTAATAAATCGTCCACCTTGGCTTATTGAGTTTACCACAATAGAGTTTTTAACTTCTGCAAACATACACCCCACCTTCAGGCCCACCTCTGCAGTTATCCAATCTAACGGAACATTGTGGACTTGAACCCACAGTTTGAGAAAATTAAATCCTTCATGGTTAGCTGACATACCTTCCTTCCATTCTTGCAAGATTAGATATTGATTTTCGAATAGCCAGTTGGTGCCTCCTATTACTTTCTTCCTATCTTCTTCCTTCTCAAAGATGAATTGGAAGAAATTAATTCCGAGCTCTCTAACTTCCATTCCATTTTGCAACTTCCAAATGGCCCCCATAGCTCTTTTGATACCCACAAGACTGGCTCGTTTATCCCCGATTATTTTTCCAAAAAGGCTTTTGTGACACTCCAATTTACTGACTTTAACATCATCTTTCCCAATATCTATGATTGAAGCCTCCTTCGCCGAGAGGGAGAAAGCCCTTAGTCTGTCTGTGATATCTTCCGCAGTTTCCATGAGTAAAATTGGGGCAAATTCCCAAAATATCTCAAGCCCTAATAATAGGGAGTTATAAGTGGTTTGAGCAAGAAGATGGAAATTTTTAAGAGATTTTGACAAAGAAAAGGATGAAAACCCTCCTGCGACGGAATTTTACTCTCCGATGAGAGAATATTTTATTTATTTTTTTTTTTTACTAATTCGAGTTCGATTTTACTATAATTGTACTAATTTGACTTTAATTGTACTAATTTGAGTTCGATTACACTATAATTGACCGAGATTGTACTAATTTGACTTTAATTGTACTAATTTGAGTTCGATTTTACTATAATTGTACTAATTTGACTTTAATTGTACTAATTCGAGTTCGATTACACTATAATTGACCGAGATTGTACTAATTTGACTTTAATTGTACTAATTCGAGTTCGATTTTACTATAATTGTACTAATTTGACTTTAATTGTACTAATTCGAGTTCGATTACACTATAATTGACCGAGATTGTACTAATTTGACTTCAATTGTACTAATTTGACTTTAATTTCACTTTAATTGTACGAGATTGTACTAATTTGACTTCAATTGTACTAATTTGACTTTAATTGTACTAATTCGAGTTCGATTTCACTATAATTGTACTAATTTAACTAATTTGACTTCAATTGTACTAATTCGAGTTCGATTACACTATAATTGACCGAGATTGTACTAATTTGACTTCAATTGTACTAATTCGAGTTCGATTTCACTATAATTGACTTTAATTGTACTAATTTGACTTTAATTGTAGTAATTCGAGTTCGATTTCACTAATTCGAGTTCGATTTCACTATAATTGACTTTAATTGTACTAATTTGACTTTAATTGTACTAATTCAAGTTCGATTTCACTAATTCGAGTTCGATTTCACTAATTCGAGTTCGATTTCACTATAATTGACTTTAATTGTAGTAATTCGAGTTCGATTTCACTAATTCGAGTTCGATTTCACTATAATTGACTTTAATTGTACTAATTTGACTTTAATTGTAGTAATTCGAGTTCGATTTCACTAATTCGAGTTCGATTTCACTAATTCGAGTTTGATACATTATATAAATCATCCAAATTCAAAATCATCCAAATACAAAATCATCGAAATACAAAATCATCCAATTACAAAATCATCCAAATACAAAATATTCATCTAAAAAAATTTAGTTCCCCCAATCATCGCGGAGTCTAGTTCGATCGATGGGAGGATGCGAATACGGGCAATGGTCTTCGAAATGTAAGGGATCACCACATCTAGTGCATTGACTCCGGCCCCTTCTGCAGCGCGCCCGACGATCCATTTGCATTTTAAAGCATCTAGTTTGGGCACGACCGGGTCCAGGCTTCGAGATGATCCTCTCCCAATGCGGAATCAAATTCCATCCCACCTGCGGCCACGTGTCAGGATTTCCAATTGGAGTAAAATTCCAATTAGAAAATTGATTAACCCAGTTCTCCGTCCAAAAGTAGGGATTATACAACGACACCGGTTGATCACCCCGGTGACGACACACTCGAATTGCATGAGAGCATGGTTTTCGATGTGTCTGCCACTTCCTACATGCACAACGCTGCTGCTCATAAAAGACCTTAAACCTATTTTCAACAATGATTTATATATATAAATTAGAAAATTAATAAACTCATTTGAATGGAAAAAAAA